ACTGCTGTAACCATGTTTGGGTGGCACAAACAGTAAATATGCTCAGCTGTTAACCAAAAGGTTGGAGGTTGGAGTCCACTCAGAGAGAGGCATCTTGGAAGGAAATCTTGATAATCCACTTCTAAAAGATCAGCCATTGAAAACCCTATGGAGTACAGTTTTACTCTGACACACATGGGGTCATCATGAATTGGAACAGAAATGATGATAACTGGTTTTCTTTTGTTTCCACTTCATAATACATTGTGGATATCATTCCTTGTTGTTGTTGTTGTTGTTATGTGCTGTCAAGTCGGACCCGCCTCATAGAAACTCCTCTTTGGGTTTCCAAGGCAGTATCACTATGGAAGTAGATTGCCCCATCTTCCTTCTGAGGAGTGGCTGGTGGCTTTGAACCGCCACCCTCCTGGTTAGCAGTCAAGTGCCTTAGGCACTATGCTACCAGAGCTCCCTCATTCCATGTTAGTAAGTAAATTTTCTGTACATGTTTTTAGAGCTACATGGCATTCTACTATATGGATGTTCCATAAATTATGTTGGATAATGATGTTTCCAATTTTTTTATTATGATGAATGCTGCAATAAACTTGCTCCTATGGAGTTCTTATAACATTTCTGTGGAAGAAGTTCCTAGGATGGTGAACACTAGATCAAAGAATATGTAAATTATAAACATATTTTAGTATCTTAAGTTTATCTCAGCAGGGCACTAAAGCGACAAGAGACACTGACACTCTTCTGTAAACCAGAAAGTCTAATATAAAGGGTGGTTACTGTGATCAACACCTTTGCATCTAGTGTAAGCCAAACAATGTGGTAGGAAGAGAAGCAACAGACTAGGAGTCCTAGAACTGCTGCTGTAAACCAGCTGAAGAACCTTAGGAAAATTACCTCACCACCAGACCACCTAGGCTCCATCAGTAACACATGTGTTGGGGTCAATCAAAGGTCCCCAGCCATTCAGAATGGGAGGGTCCTTCTCTGTCACCTCTGCCTCAAGACCCCATTAGTCTGGAAAGGTGATAGCAGTTAGGTCACAGACCAGGCCAGGAGGTCACCAATGACAGATGCTTCAAGAATGCTGGGGCAGGACAGAAACAGGACAGCAAGGCTCTAAGGGACTGCCTACATTTTCTAGCCACTGACAATGAACAGCTGCCTTTCAGTGCAGAGCTCTATCTATTACATAGAAGTGCTCCAACAATAGAGCATCTTCACTCCTCTGCTACAAACGACTACAGAAAGGCAGGTGAATGGCAATGAGTTTATTCAGAGACATGGGATGCAGAGCTGGAGAGACCTCAGCCATTTGTCTAAAAGGACATTGAACCTCTGTGTTTCTGAACTCCATAAGTGAAGGTCAGTGGGCAGTCACTGGCCCAAGACCATAAAGCCATGCCACCACCAGCCCACACTTGGGCAGACCACAGTCTAGAATCCAAACTCACACAGCAATTATAACCCTTTTCTCCAGGGTCCCATGATCACACTCCACTGTCGTAAACTCAGCAGAGAGTTGTGGAAGTTTCCAACGGTTCTGTACCAATCTCTGGCTCTAAACAGGCTGCAAAGAACTGTGTGAAAATTCACTTTTAATTAGAGATGCAGGATGTGGCAGCTTTCTTATTTCTTGTTCTATTCATTAATTTATCGTATTCCCCATCTTTGTGCCTCATTCCTATTCCTTCAGGGTAAGATTTGGGGTCTCCCATAGCACACCTGCATCCCCAGACAGGGCTCTAATATATCAGGTACTCAGTATTTTTTGCTTTATTATCAGCCCAAAAGAGCCAAAAGAGATGAAGGCCTTGTAGGCAAGCACCACTGCAAACAAAGGGTGACAGCATTACACTCCAAGAAAATTACACAATCAGGGTTTTTAGAAATATGAGGGTATGAAGGAAACCCTGGAAACCATCAAATACTAAAAGGAGAGAGGAAAAAACTATTACTAACAGAGTGAAAAAACTCAGCCAGCTGTCTGCCAAAATAGCAGGGTGAAACAAATCAATGGGAGGACAGTTAATTCCTTAATAGATGTTTTAAGTACATTTGTAAATGGCCTCTTATTTGTGAAAGGATCTGGAATATGACCAAAACCCACAAACTCACCAGATCTTGAAGCAGGGGAATTCCATACTCATACAAAAGCCTTACTCAAACATAAAAGTGCTCTACCTAAAAATAGCTAATTACTTTTTAAGACAAGATTTTGAAATATTGGTTTAATTTTATGCTGTTTATATAAAATTAGTAATAGTTACCTAACAGATTTTAAACAATAAACATTTTTTTAAAAAACATGCTACTGAAAGGCTAAAGTGCCCTTTCAATGGGCTTCTAAATACCCCTACTGTGGATGTATGTAAACCAAGTTCTTACAAAAACAAAAGTTTTCAGGTGCAAACCCTTGCACAATACCCACAGACCTCTACACTTAGAAAAGACTGCCAACATTTAGCTTACTTAAGTAGGCTTGCTGCCCTGGGAGTGTGTAAGTGTGTATGGGCCTGTGCTGATACAGTAAGAATGTACATGATCTATTAAATGCAAAAAGCAGGTTAAAAATCAGTTCCAATAATATACTCTTATGTTTCTGTAAAAATAAAAGACCTACTTTGACAGTTCAGCAATCCACTAAATGTAGGACACCAGGGATTGTGAGATGCACCAATTCTATAACTACTTTTGGGGGACCAAAAGATGCAAAACCATGTTAGATACAAAGCTAGATTGTAAATACATCCCCATTCCAGAAAGAATGTGTATCATGAAAACCAAACCCAATGTCATCAAGTTGACTCTGAAGAGGCTCATGCAAATTGGATATTATAGGTATCAGGAAAAATATACCAAATGTTAGGCATTTGAGTACATCTGTGCTTATCTGGATGGTGTTTACTGATGATTTTCCTAAACATTTTTGCTTATCAAAAATACTCATTTTCACATATTAATCTAACCTCCACAGACAGTATTTAGCAGCAACTTCTCAGACTAATGTATTTCCTTAAGAACTATTATGATATAAGCACTAGGTAAACTCAGAAAGTCTGATGTTTAAAATGACTTCATCAAACCACAATTCATGCCTGCTCTCATGCACAGACTGAGGCTGCTGAAAAATAAGGACCCACCCCCCAACTCACCATCCTGGACTCCTCCCCGCTTCTTCCTCTCCCTCCAGTCTACCTCTCAATTTGCCATGACCAGTTGCAATCCATTGTAAACCCTATCCTTGCTCCTCTGCTTTCCCCATTTTAATTTAACATGTCACATGAAGTTTTCCTTCCCCAACGCTTTTCTGCTTCCCACCCCATAGTCATGAGCCAGTCCCTCTTCACTTGAACACTTCTCAGTCCAAAATTACAACATGAGAATTTTCTAGCTAGATGAAAACACTTTATTTTATTGATGAGAAAACTGAGACAGATTATAAACTTTCAACTTTTAAAATCTTACCTAGCCACACTTTGTTGAAGATAGTATGAGTTCAAGAACGTCCCAACACTACATATTTTAAGGTGGAAGAAAGAGAAGAAAAGGGCCTGGATCACTGGGCCACAGGTCTCTAGAATCTGGGATTTATTCATTTCTCAGCATTTCTCTTTCCAAGTAATAGCACTGTCAGTTTCTTTTGTTGTTGTTTTTGTTAGATGCCATTGAGAAGGCTGTGATTCATAGTGAACCAATGTACAACAGAATAAAACACTGCCTGGTCCTGTGCCATCATCACAATCCTTGCTAAGCTTGAGCCTTGCTATCATTCAGATACTGTGTCAATTCTTCTCGTTGAGGGTCTTTTTCGCTGACCTTCTACTTTACCAAGCATGATATCCTTCTTCAGGGAAACTCGCCATGATAAGTTAGATAAAATGAAATCCAGTTATGATCTTTCTAGAACGGGGCTAGGAACCACACTGCTCAGTCTGCCAGTATAAGCCATGTCTCAGTGTCAGGGACAATGGAAGGCCTTTAAGCCCAGACAGGACAGAGAAAGGGAGAAGAAACTGAGGAAGAAATGAATGGGAAGGAAAGGAGGAGAGGGAGGAAAGAAAAAGCAGCATTGGCCTAAATGGAGGTCAGGGCCAATACTACACTAACACGCCTGAGCAGACCCACGTCTTTAAAGATCCTTTCCTTACTGTCAAACCTCAGTTCACTGAGACATCTTAAAGGCAAAGCCACACATGCTATGTGAGGCTAAATCACCATGACCACTTGTAATGGCTAATTTTATGTGTCAACTTGGCTAGGCTACAGTTCCCACTGATTTGGCCAAACACTAGACTATCTGCTATTCCATTATGTAATCTAATGCAGTATAACATAATCACCTTCTATAATGTAATCTAGCACAACGTAATCAACTAATTAGTTGAAAGTGGAGTTTCCTTAGGGTGTGTTCTGCCTCCAGACTATAAATGGGTATTTTAACAACTCTCTCTCTCTCTCTCTGCCCTCTTCAATTGCCTGACCTCATAAAGAACCAATGAACAACAGAATGAAATACTGCCTGGTCCTGTGCCATCGCCACAATCCTTGTTAAGCTTGAGCCTTGCTATGGTTGCAGATACTGTGCAAGCCTACTGGAGTCAGCCTGACCTATCAATGGATTTTGGATTTGGCAGCCCCCACAATCATGGGAGCCAATTTCTTGAAGTTAAATCTTTCTATAAATATGTATAAATTTCTCACTGCTCTTCTTTCTCTAGAGAACCCTAAGACACCAAAAAAATTACTTAAAAATTCTACAGATGGATAATATTTAGATATAAACCTTTTATTGGTTTTAAGGTGACATTGTCATTTCTTTCAAATAATTTTCATATTGTTTTCAGCTTTGAGATCAGTAGGCTAGAGAAAAGCTAAAAGTTAGGAGATTCATTTAGCCCTTTTTCTAATTGGCACTTCTGAGCATACTCTCAGTGCTAAATGTAACTCATAGGTCTAATTTCCAGTTAAGTCTTAAACACTAATAAGATCTATGATTAACTTACATGATCAAGGCCTCCCATTCAAAAAAATTCTCTTCATTCATGGGGCCTACAGGGAAAAAAAAGATTCCACAGCATTTTATTTAACTTTGAAGGCCAACTTTAGCAATTCGAAGTAAACTATAAAGAAGTTAGTTTTAATACCTTACCTGCCACAATTCCTTCTGGAGGATTCAGTGTTAATTCTATAAAAATAAAAAGTGAAATCTTTACTAAACAATGTTATATTCCCATTTTAATAAAATATCTTTAGAACATATATAAGACTGTAAATTATATATTGTACATAGTAACAGATGAAAAATCGGTTTGCTCAGAACAAATGCCTGTTCCAGTGACATTTCTAATAAAGACTATGTGAATAATCCTTTGTACCAGAGAAACAGAATTTTAGAGTTATAAAACCTTCCATTTTACAAATGAAGAAAAAACAAAAGAACAACTATCTTTCCAAAATATCCTACTGGTTACTTTCACTAAAGCTCATAAACCTAACAAGATATACTATTTTCCAACTGAATATTTCCTGTCACTTTGAGTGTTCACAAGATTTTTCTGAAAGGGAACAACTAGAGCTATAAACCAGAGCTGAAGTTTCAAAAGTTTGACACTATTACGCAGGGGACATCAAGCTCGAATGGCATAACATACTACACAAAACATTGTTCCACCTCCTACTTTGGCAAGCAGTGACTGAGATCTTAAAAGCTTGCAAGCAGCCATCTAGATGCCACGATGGGTCTCTCCTCATCCAGAGCAAAGAAGAATAAAGAAAAGCAAAGATTCATGGAAACAATTAGTCCTAGTGACTGGTACACCATGCGATCCACAGCCTTATGACTATGAGACCAGAAGAACTAGATGGTGCCCAGCTACCACTGTCAACCACT